CGAGTAATTTAATTTTTGTTGCAAATAATAATTTGTATATGATCGTAAATACTTATACAGTTTAAGTTATACTTAATATTTTATTATAAATAAAGGGGAATATCATCGAGTTTTAAAGGAATGTACGGATCAATTAAATACTGGATTGAAGCGGAAATACAAAGGCCCTTGTTCACTATGAATAATAAGATTAAGACAAAACTTAATGTGGATGTACCACTTGTTTGCAACGACCTAATGGTTTTATTATATACATTTATTTTACTATTTTGTTATTACTATTTATAAATAGATATATTATAAATATTTTATCAAATATAGTTGCCGCTGAAATTAAGTGCCCAAAAAAGTGACTTTTTATTTGATAATAATGGTTCAATTCGTATGGATGCCAAGATTGATAGACGCGCATATTATCCAGGTAATTAAACAGTATTTTCTATAAATTTACATAAGTTTCATGAATATTAATATATACATAACACTGAATGGTGACCAAAAGGCGAGTTTGTGGTCTTTCACTGCAATGTTATCAACCAGTCGTCCACACGAGTCATACCCCGAGTGACTCTCAGACAAACCCAGACTTATTTAATGAGAAAGAAAAATAAAACCAAAATAAGACAAAACACACATTATGAAATCAAATGCCAACGAATGGAGGGATTGCCTACAGAAGCCGGATCTAGTTCCACTCAGACATTTCAAGTACTGTAATGTTTCATTTAGTTCAAGTGCAATCATTTAACATGAAGTTTTTCTCACAAATAATAGAATTATGAATAGTTAGTTTAATTAATTTAATAAATAATATTTAGCATTAATAATAATTTTTAAATAATGTTTTATGAGTTCAGGTACCCATTCCGATTGGTATTGCCATATCAGTGAACAGTCCCATACTAGAAGTTTCATATGACTTACACCTTACTGTTGACATCCCATCAGCCATTGATCTACACTTGGATCTACCCATTATGATCACCACTAAAAATGTTGTTAATCAATATAAGCCATATAACTCTGAATATAAAATGACATAGAAATCAAAACTTTATAAGAATTCTTCATAAGTGTAACTATTATTCAAATCAGTATTTTGTATTTATTTTCAAGAATTCATAATAAAAAATTAAATGTAAATAAAAAATATTTTATTAAAAACCAATTAAAAATTAATTATTAAATACCTGTACTTATGTAATAATACGAATTTACTTACTAGTTAGTAATTGTCGTTATAAACAAAGTTAAACCATTAAACACCAAATATTTAGACCCAAATGAGTTCGTCTAAACAAAACTGCTTTTGAGATTCAATTAACTTATATTTTGACCCAATTTCTCATAAACTCATTGGCGATCAATGCTTAAGAGTATTAAGATATTGAAAAGTGAACATAAAGTGAATGTTAATATACTGTTCTTTATAACCGTAATGTTTATTAGTTATTATAAAACATAAATTATTCCTGTTACTTTAATAAATAACTTTAATAATTAAATAAAAGCGATATTTTATATACATTATATTTAAAAAATTTTTAAACATGAAAACATTCAACACTTATAAACATATATAGAGAATTAATATAGAAATTCACCCAAAAATTCTTTATATTTAATTAATTATAAGTTAATCAAAATTTCGTATTTAAAATAATTGTGTATAATAATTGTTAGATTATTATTGAGAATTATATGCCATATACTGATTGACAACATTTTTAGTGGTGATCATAATTGGTAGATCCATGTGTAGATCAATAGCTGATGGGATGTCAACCGTTAGATGCAAATCATATGAAACCGTTAGAATAGGACAGTCCACTGATATACCAATACCACTAGGAATTGGTACCTTTATGAATTACAAAATTATTTTTGAGTTTAAAATTTAAACAACAAATACCAATTAATTTATAATAACATAATACTGTACCAGAAATGTTTGCTTAGAGGCTAGTCCTGGTTCTGTCGGCAATCCCTCCAGTCTTTCATATTTTATTGATTTCTGTATTTGTTTTTTGATTTCTTTAGTAATTGTCTTTCGGACGATAAAAGTTTGTGTTTGTCTGAGAGTCACTCGGGGTATAACTCGTGTGGACGACTGGTTATCAACATTACACACAACAGGTATGACTTCACCTTATGGTCAGATAATTAAATTCTTAATATTTTAATTTCAAATCAAACCAAGCACAGTTTGTTTTATTACCTGAATAATACGCACGCCTATCAATCATAGCATCCATGTGAATTGAGCAGGGTTTATGAAATAAAAAGTCACTCGTCTCGGCACTTGTTTTGAGTGGCATCTAAAATATATAACAGATTATCTATTACTAACTGAATATTATAGTGAGATACTGTATGTATATTTAATATAATTTAATATATTTCTAAATAAACCATGAGATCGTTGCAAACAACATCTTCGGCCTCCACTTTAAGATTAACTTTCATTTTATGGTTTGTCGACAACAAAGGTGTCTGTATTTCTGCTTCAACCCAGTATTCAATTGACCCATACATCCCATAACAACTCGATGCTATTCCACTACACAGTCATATATTTAATCAAATAGTTTAATAATTGAATTATTTGTATTACTGTAGTATAACTTATTATATTACTCATGTGGTAATTGAAAGCAAAATGGGAATTCATAAATGCCTTTCGATATCATATCACCAAATGCTAACAAAAAAATAAATATTAAATCATCATAAATATAATTATTTTATATTAACAAGTAAGCATACGTTTAAAATCATAATCCATAGTAAAATATTTAATATCTGCACTATTTATCATTTTGCCTTCATTCCACATGACCCTGGTCAGTCCTTTCATTTGCATTCTTACCTACAAATTGCGGTAAATATTGAAATTAACTCAAATTAATAGCTCGATACAAACCTGTGTCAATAAGTAGTGTCAAACAAACCTGTGATAAACCGAGTTCCCCATCCAGTGCTATCACACATTTTCCCTTCACATCACTTCCTAACCCATAAGTCTGATTGTGTGAATCCAACACTATTTCAAATCTACTTAATTTAATTTTATCCATAATCGATTTGTGTATAATTTATCATTTAATCTACTGATTATCACATAAACATTTTCTTTTACTATAGCATAAATAAGTTAGTTTAATAATTTTACAGAATTATAAAATACAGTTGTTATTTGCAAACATTGACCGATAGATTGATTGCGGAATGATATTCATATGAAAACAAACAGTCAGTTGACTGACAACCGCACAGAATCCGGTGCACCAATCGATATGTCGGTGCCGTTAATTGTGTGCCGACACACTCTGTACTACCACTATCTTTATCATGAGATGAACTCCAGGCACGAGAATAAAACATTTAAAATTTAATTATTGATTTGATTTTTATTAAAATTTTTATTAAAAGTAAAGAAAGAGATTTATAATTTATATTTGCAAGTTTAAAAAATAATTTATAGCATTAGTTACAGAATATAGTTATAGAATAATAGAATTGTATGCTTATATAAAGCTTTGATGCTTACTGTATGTATTGAGAATTATTGAGAATTATATGTTATATACTGATTGACAATATTAGGTGTAGTGATCAGAATGGGTAAGTTTAAGTGTAGATCAATTGCTGATGGGATGTCAACAGTAAGGTGTAAGTCATATGAAACTTTTAGTATGGGACTGTTCACTGATATGGCAATACCAATCGGAATGGGCACCTGAACTCATAAAACATTATTTGAAAATTATTATTAATGCTAAATATTATTTATTAAATGAACTATTAATAATTCTATTGTTTGTGAGAAAAACTTCATGTTAAATGATTGCACTTGAACTAAATGAAACATTACAGTACTTGAAATATTTGAGTGAAACTAGATCCGGCTTCTGTAGGCAATCCCTCCATTCGTTGGCATTTGATATCATAATGTGTTTGTTGTTTTATTTTGTTTTTATTTTTCTTTCTCATTAAATAAGTCTGGGTTTGTCTGAGAGTTACTCGGGGTATGACTCGTGTGGACGACTGGTTGATAACATTGCAGTGAATGACCACATACTCGCCTTTTGGTGACCATTCAGTTTTATGTATATATTTATATTAATGAAACTTACGAAAATTTCTAGAAAATACTGGTTAATTACCTGGATAATATGCGCGTCTATCAATCATGGCATCCATACTAATTGAACCATTTTTATGAAATAAAAAGTCACTTTTTCGTGCACTTAATTTCAGCGGCAACTATATTTGATAAAATATTTATAATATATCTATTTATAAATAGTAATAACAAAATAGTAAAATAAATGTATATAATAAAACCATTAGGTCGTTGCAAACAAGTGGTACATCCACATTAAGTTTTGTCTTAATCTTATTATTCACAGTGAACAAGGGCCTTTGTATTTCCGCTTCAATCCAGTATTTAATTGATCCGTACTTTCCTATAAAACTCGATGATATTCCCCTTCATTTATATTAAAATATTAATTATAAGTATTTATTATTATATATAAATTATTATTTGCAACAAAAATTAAATTACTCGTGCGGCAATTGAAAGCTAAACGGGAATTCATAGACACCTTTCGATATCACTTGACTGTATGCTACAAAAATAATTATAAAGTTAAAGTAATGAGAAATAATGTTCAAATAAACTCACTATTTCGCATGAAATCATAATTGATTTTAAAATATTTAATTGTATCCGAGTATGAATCGTCGTCTTCAGACCACTCTACTCGGGCTAAACCTTTCAATCGCATCCTTACCTTCAATCGACATCATTTGTATTATTTTCATATTTTAATGTCAATTCAAAACCTGTGATAAATCGAGTCTTCCGTCCAGTGCTATCACACACTTTCCCGTGATATGACTTCCCAATCCATACGTAGGATTATGGGAGTCCAACACTATTTCAAAATTAGTTAATTTAATTTTGCCCATGATTGTAGTTTTGTTTAAAACTCAAACTCATTTCATGACATTTATTTCTAATATGGTCGACTGTTGAAATAAGTATTTATAAATGTGTGCAAATAATTCCTGATTGCTTGGTGATTCAATAAATTTATTGCACTATTTATGATTATACAATGATTATTAAAATAATTGATATAATAAAGTGGTGCTACAATTCTTGCGCTTAGTAACTGAAATATTGTCAATAAAGTTAATTAACCAATTTTCAATGATAGTGATTCTAATAAAATTTCATTTGATTTGATAAACAAAATGAGATTTTTACTATTGCAATCATTTCCAAATATGTTTACGTTTCCTATGATATTCCGGTTAAAGAATTATCTAAATTAGCAATTATTAGGAATTATTATTAGGAATAAGAATAAAATATATATAAATTTTAATAAAACAATTTAATAATACAACTTGATACAATTACATATCATAATAACATATAAAAATAAAATAATTTATTTTTT